ATGCGGCCTCGTCTACTGTCTGCTGAGTTTTATTTGTATTCCTTCTAAACATCACATTTCCTATCACATGTCTACTTCAGAAAATAGAGTTTGACATAACTGACTTTCCAAAGAAACCAGAAATTTCCACTTCAAGAAAAGCAATGTTTCTCTCCCCTGTAACTTAGGTACCGCCCACTTAATCCTTTATACTCCTGGGCTATCTTATCTTTTAGTGACTTCAGTTCTGGAGTTAACTCTCTGGAGTCTTCATCTCCATTCCCAGCTCAGTGAACCCGTGCCTTGCAGCCCTGATTTGGGCATGCAGGATGTGGTATTCAGCATAGTCTGCCTTAAATTCCTGTTCATAAGCCTGTTGTTGCTCTGCACTGTGGATGACTCTGTATTGCAGGCGACTAAAGTCCTGCTCGTAGGCCTGTAACCATTTAAATTATGTAATATTTATACAAATATAGACATGGGAGGCATAATCTATGGTAAAAAACAGTCAGCTCAACTAGGAAACTTTATTTTCTTAACCATATAGGAAATATCTATTACAAGCCTGATTCTACAACTAAACTGCCAGCTCTTTAGAAATGTCTTTCTATGTGTCATTCTTCTGAGCTAGTCTGCATTTCTCTTGAGTTCCTCAAACCCAGGAGGGCTCCTTAGCTCTGTTTTCTAGATTTCTGTTTCATCTGTATCCTGCCTGATGATGCTTCTGTTGTTCCAAGGCCAAAGAGAAAATCCCCATCACTTACCTGGAGCTCCTTCCATAGAGCCTCTTCCAAGCTGAGAGACAGAGAGAAAGAGAGAGAGAGAGAGAGAGAGAGAGAGAGAGAGAGAGAGAGAGCTCTTTCAAAGGTCCAGTTGCTTATTAAAGAAGTCTAGCTTCTCCCATACACCCTCGGCAGGCTGAGCCATGTCACTGTCTTGGGATTTTTCTGCTCAGGGATTGCTAGCTTTTTTTCACACCCTCCCCCTTTTCCCCCAGCACTGGGCCATGGGTTAGTCAGATGAAGCTGGCTTTTGCTGAGGTGCCATTCCTGTGGGGCTGCTGGGGACAGGCAGGGACTGGAGAGGTGTTGCCACTGTGAACAGTTCCTGTGATGTTTCACCAAGCCTGCAGGCTGAAGCAGGACCATCACCATCGTGGACAGCTCCTGTGACAACTGCAGACTGAGGAGATGTAGTGGAGCCGCCATCTTAACAGGAGACCCCAGTTTGGACAGCTCCTGTGGGACATTTTACTCAGGTGGCTCATAAGCTGGAACAGAAAGGAAAGAACTGTTGCCACTTTGACGGATTTAGCGTTAGGGACTACAATAAGCCAGGATATGCCCTTTGTCCCTAAGCTGTGGCTTGTGAGATATAAAGCCACAGTAGTGGATAATGGAACTGTGTTTGATACTTTTCTGTTGCTGTGATAAAACACCAAATCCAAAGAAACTTACAGAAGGTTTATCTGGGTATTAGGGTCCCAAAGAGTTAAGAGTCCATCAACATCATGACAGCAAACACCAGGCATGGCAGCAGGAACAGCTGAGAGCTCACACCTCCAACCATGCCTCCCAGTGACATACTTCCTCCAGCAAGGCCACACCTCCTAAGCTTCCCCAAACAGCACCAACTGGGAACTAAGTCTTCAAATGACCAAGAATATGGGGGTCATCTTTTTTTTTTTTTGGTTTTTCGAGACAGGGTTTCTCTTTATAGTCCGGGCTGTCCTGGAACTCACTCTGTAGACCAGGCTGGCCTCGAACTCAGAAATCCGCCTGCCTCTGCCTCCCAAGTGCTGGGATTAAAGGCGTGCGCCACCACCGCCCGGCAATGGGGGTCATCTTATTCAGAGGACCGCAGTAACTAACACAGACAGTGACACCCAAGCTCCCAGTGCAAATGTGGGATCTTCCAGGGGTAGTGCCAGGGAAGATGTTAGCAGTCCCCCAAATCACACAGGAGCAGATCCAATATAATCACAGTAGGGACTTTTTATTTGAGCTAGCTCAGGTCAGCACACCACGTCATGCAGTATGGTTTTGGTGATGAGGAGTCCCAAATATATACAGGGCAAGACTTTATGGTAAGCAGCAAATGGGGGGTGAGTGTGCAAGCATCTAATTGGGAAGTTACTATGGCACAATTGGCTGGTGCTGGGAGTCATATCATAAACTTAATTTCTGCTTCCCTCTGCATTGGTGGTCCTTAGAGAGGGAATGGTCTTGTAACCTGGGGATGCAGGTTTGTTGGGGGTGTAACCTGGAGACATAGGTCCTGTTGAGGGTTAGCCTAGAGACTGGAGCTAGGCTCTGGTTTTGTTGGGAGGTAACTTAGAAACTAATGCTAGGTACCAACCTATTAGTTTACCTGAGTTCAAGTTCTCTAAAATGGAGTCTGAGTTTTAAAGATATGGCCTCTCCCAGATAGCAGCTGGCTGACACTGCCACAGATGGGACCTGGGCAAGAAGGTTTGGTTCTAAAGAGTCACCTAAGGCGATGCTGGCACCTATCAGGCCAGGACACACCTTTTTAAATATCATAGTGGGCACCTCTTGTATGTGCCAAGTCCAGGAATGAAGAAACTTTCCAAAGGAAATGTTCAAACCCAGTGGTGTCCAAGAGGACCATGGAGATGGCTCAGAGTGTAAAGGTTCTTGTCACCATGCTTTGTTCCCTGAGATTAATCCATAGATGCCACATGGTGGATGGAGAGACCTGACTCCTGTAAGTTATCCTCCGAGGTTCACATGGACATCATGACATGTACATCCTTATACATAATTATTAAATCAGTGCAATAAAAATGAAAAAAGAAATCACGATGGTTTCATGTTGAAGGACATGGAAACACTTATGTATAAGGACATATATATATATATATATATATATATATATATATATATATATATGGACATGCATAAGTTGTGTCTAGTTTGCCTAAAGACTTTCCAGTGGTTGAATTTTCCTGTGACCAAAACCTACATTGTCAAAAGAACCTGCCAGGAGGATTGAAGGGCAACCCATGCAAGGATAATCACAGAGATTTTAAATTATTTTATGTGCTATGTATTTACTCTTGCTATATGTGTATGGTGTGTGAATGAGGGCACTCCTCAGCTGTGGTGTGTGTGCTGGCAGATCAGGAAGTCAGAAGAGAACCTTTGGGAGCCAGTTCTCCCCTTCCATGTGGGTTCTGGGGGACTGAACTCAGGTGGTCAGACTTGGTGGCAAACACCTCTACCTGAGTCACCTCACCATCCCAGCCTAGGTGCCATCACCCTGTTTTTGGAGGTGTTGAGAAATCGAACCCAGCGCCTGTGGCATACAAGGTGGGCACTCTAGTCACTGAGTCACATTCCCAGTGTTTGAAAACCAGTCAGCAGACAAGGGCTTTCTGTTATTTCAAAGGACTATACTAAAGCTTTGGGATAAAGATGGAATTAGAGACTATCTGTTAAACAACAGACATGGGTGGAGTACAAGAAGCATTTTGGCTATGCAGCGCTCTGATCTGAGGATCTAAATCTAGGAGAACCAGGCCTGAAGAGGAAGCTTCTGGTTTCTTTGGAGACTCAATTGTGTCATGTGATGTTTTTCTGGAAACTGTCTTATGGGAGGATGTTTTTGCTGAAGCAGACATGTGGTGTTTTTCTGGAAGCTGCCTGGAAAAAGGGCATGTGATGTTTTGGTGTATCTTGAGCGATGTCATCTTGAGAGAACACGTGATGTTTGGAAAGTGTATAAATATAGATCACGGATGACACTGTGTGGCATTGATTCACTTTGCCACTCTTTGCTGGTCTTCATTGGGCTTCGCTGATGCTGGTCTTCACTGACAATGCTGTGACACTGGTTAGCTTTGCCTTCTTTGCTGATCATTTGTACTTGATGACGTCAGTAAGTGGAGAAGAGCTTTGCAGCACCTGACATCTCAGAGCGAGCCTGGCAGCTGTGCTAGGCCTCTGTAGAGCTGTGGGGGTCTTGGTGCTTGAAGATCATTTGGTTTTCTAGACTGTAGTTCTCATTCTTAACATGTTGAGAGTTGCCTTGCCCTTGTGAGTGCTGGTTTGAGATCTGGTGTCCTTTTTTTCAGAGGCTATGATGTTCAGAAATTAAGGGCTAGACGCACATGCAGTCAGGTTGAAGAGCAGAAAAAAACATTTGTGTAGGGATATCTGTGTTGGGATAAGGGACTGAGGAAGGAATTTCTTTAGAAATTGTGCCAGTTCTGGGAGGTAGTGGCACATGCCTTTAAATCCAGCATTCAGGAGGCAGAGGCTGGCAGTGCTTACATCTACAGAGTGGTCTACAGAGTGAGTTGCAGGACAGCCAGGACTACACAGAGACATGCTGACTTGAAAAGCAAAAAACCAAAATTCTGCCAGATGTGTTAGCATACATCTTTAATCCCAAGTACTGGACAAAGACAGGTGGATCTCTGTGAATACAAGTTTGGGGCCAGCCTGGTCTACATAATGTGTTTCAAGACAACTGGGGCTAATAGAGAAATCTTGTCTCAAATTTTCTTCTCTATCAGAGGACGCACCTTCAGTGCATAACACATATCCATATAACTGGCCCAGGTGATTGAACACACTCTTGAAAGTGCACCCATGTACACCCATCGTACATTCACAAAACCACACAGACATAGATTTTAAAAACTTCAAAAGTGAGATTTCTAGGGCTTGGGTAGTGGCTCAGAGTTTAGAGCACTTTTGTTCTTCCAGGAATTCCCAAGTTCAATTCTTAGTGCCTATGTCAGCTCCCAATCACGTAATTACAGCTGGAGGAAGAAGAGGGTTCTGTGTCCTCTGCTGGCCTCCACAGGCACCAGGCGTGCATACACAGGCACAAGTGCAGGCAGAGCTCATACACCTGAGTCTGATTGTGGAAAGCTGGTATACACCCGTGCTCCCTCAGGTGGTGTACATACATCATGCCCATGCTCCCTCAGGTGGTAATCTTTGTGAAGTCATGCAGCGCTGCACCACCCTGGCCCAGCTGCTAGTAGAGCAGAACTTCCCAGCCATTGCTATCCACCGTGGGATACCCCAGGAGGAGAGGTAGGTTAGACGTGGTTAGGCGGGTGGCCATGTATCCTTGTGTGTGTGTCCGTCCATGTGTCTGTGTCCTGTCCTGAGGGGGAAGTGGTGTGGAGAGAAGGAGTCTGAACCCTCTCATTTTCTCTCACAAAGGCTCTCTCGGTAACAGCGGTTCAAGGATTTTCAACGGAGGATTCTTGTGGCTACCAACATGTTTGGCCGAGGCATGGACATTGAGTGTGTGAACATCGATTTCAACTATGACACGCCAGAGGACTCAGACACCTACCTGCACAGGGTAAGCTGCCCACCCTCACCCCACTTCCTGTGTGTGTGCTGTGCACCTTCCTCTCCTCTGTCTTCCCTATGAAGCTTGCAGTCTTCCCCTTCTTCCAGGTGGCCAGAACGGGCTGGCTTGGCATCAAGGGTTTGGCCATCATGTTTGTGTCAAATGAGAATGATGCCAAGATCCTGAATGACGTGCAGGACCATTTCGAAATAACATCAGTGAGCTGCCCGATGAGATTGACATTTCCTCCTACAGTGAATGCTGCCTTCCTCTGTGTGTGTGTGTGTGTGTGTGTGTGTGTGTGTGTGTGCAAGTGCATGCGTGTGTGTTTCCAATTTTGTATCTTACTGAAACTGAGTGTTTTTTCTTCAGTTTAGCAGACACGGTAGAGGATTCACCCATTCTGGACTGTGGCAGTCTGTTGTAGGAGAGGACACAGGGGTCAGGAGGAAACACTGCCACTCTACCCAACACCTTGGCCCACCCTATCTCTGCTTCTCTGCATCACCACCACTCCTAAACCTAGTCCTGAGTTATCAGAATTGTTTGTTTGTTTAACAAAACTAAGAATCAAACAACTGTGTCTGTGGTGTCTGTAAGTGCTCCGTTTAGGGCTTGAACCAGGGTCACTCTGAGGGCTGTGAGCCCTCTTGTGGGGCAGCAGGGCCATAGTGAGTTAGGGCCCAAACCCAAGAGCCTCCCAGCTGCCTTCTCTTCCTGGTTTCACTCACTTTCTAAAGTGTCTGTGGACTAGAGGCTGGGGCACTGCTAGGGGTCGGGAGGTAAAGAGCAAGCTTCATGTCCAGGTCCCTGGTCTCCTTCAGCTGGATTTCTTATATGAGGACCTGTGCCTCCTGCCCTTTTAAGTGGGGGCCTGGTAGAACCCGGCCAAGCATGAGCAGATACGCTCATGTGTTGTGAGGGAGGCCATGTGGTGGGCATGACTCAGAAGGGGTAGGTGGGATTACTCTGGGTCACGGGGGAAATGGATGTCTTAAGAAAGACGTGCCCCAGAGCACAGGCTTTCTGGGGAAGAGCAGCTGCCCCTGCTCAAAGGTATGAGCAAAAGTCTCACCTTCAGTGCCGCTGGCTGCACCTCTCTATGTCTCCCAGGATTAGCAAGGAGGAGGATGGTCTCTGCACAGAAGAGCTTTCCCACAGTCAGGGTCTCTCATCAAGCCTAACTGCCTTTACATACGGCCAAATGCCTCAGTCTCCGTTTCATTCTTTGTTTTAATTTTCAGAATATTTCATTGTGTGTGTACAAGTTTTGACAGCATCTATCTAAATGTACTAAATGTGCATTGCCTGTGAATGCCAGCAGAGGGCACTAGAGGGCACCCGTGGAGCGGCTCACAGATGGCTGTGAGCCACCTGACTCAGTGCAACAAAACTGGGTTTTCTGCAAATGCTCTTGCTGCTTAGCCCTCTGCTCCTGAGATCCTCATTTCTGAAGAGATCTGGCCGCCACATCCTGGTGGGAAGGGATGGGTGTTCACAGCGAAAGCCAGAAGACTTAAAAGTTTCCCCACTGAAGACAATTACCATTAGAGTTCCCTTTGCCCAGTCATGTGTGCTGGATAGTTTTATATGTCAGCTTGACACAGCTAAGCCCATCACAGGAGGGAGCCTCAGTTAAGAAAATTCCTCCATATGATTGGGCTGCAGGCAAGCCTGTAAGGCATTTTCTTAATTAGTGAGTGATGGAGAAGGGCCCAGCCCTTCTCCCTGGGCTGGTGGTCCTGGGTTCTATAAGAAAGCAGGACTGAGCACATTCTTGAAAAGGGGAGGGAGGAGGGGGAAGGAATGTGTCAGGGGGTGGGACTAAAAGGAGACAGGTTGGGGGCTTCAAAGTGAATAATGGAAAAAATGAAAGTCTGACTTCTGGGTGTGGTGTGGTACATGCGTTTAATACCAGTACTTGGGAGGCAGAGGTAGGCAGATCTCTATGAGTTCAAAGCCAGCCTGGTCTGTCAGAGCTGTCAGAGAAACCCAATCCTGTCTTGAAAAATCACAGTGGTGTGGATTGGGGGTTGGGGGAGAAGGCTGAGCAAGCCAGTAAGTAGTGCTCTTCCATGGCCTTTACATCAACTCCTGCCTCCAGGTTCCTGCCATATTTGACTTCCTGTCCTGACTTCCTTCGATGATGAACAGTGATGTGGAAGTGTAAGCCCAATAAACTCTCTCCTCCCCAAGTTTCCTTGGTCATGGTGTTTACCCCAGCAATAGAATCTTTAACGGAGACATGTCACTGTGAGGTTGGTTCTCACACAGTAATTTCCACAAAAGCCCTAGAGAATGAAGGCAGCCCCTTAACTCTTCCAAAACACCAATACAGCTGCTGCCCTCTTCCAGTCATCTCTAGAAAGGTTCTTGCAGGTGGCAGCTCCAGTAGGAGCTCAGGAGACCCCGATGTATCTAAAAAAGAACCAGATGGTGGGGCTGGAGAGATGGCTCAGTAGTTAAGAGCACTTGCAGCTCTTGCAGAGGACACGAGTTTGGTTCATAGCACACATGTGGTAGTTCACAACCATCTGTAATTCCAGTTCCAGGGGAGGGATTTGTCACCTTCTTAGGGCCTCCATGGGCACTCCATACACGTGGTACACAGACAAGTATACAGTCAAAGTGCTCATACATAAAGTATGATTTAAAGTCTCAAAAAAAAAGATTCAGATAGTGTTTTCTGTGGGTAATGTTGCTCTGTGGATACTGCATGCATATGGTGCACAGATGTGTGTGCAAGCAAAACACTCATATTCATAGGAATAAATCAGAGGTTGGAGAGATGGCTCAGTGGTTAAGGGCACTGGCTCATCTTCTAGAGGAGCCAGGTTCAATCCCCAGTACCCACACCCTGGCTCACAACTGTCTGAAACTCCAGTTCCAGAGACTCCAACATCCTCATGCAGACATACATGTAGACAAAACACCAATGCACATGAAATAAAAAATAATTTTAAAATATATTTATTGGGCTGGAGAGATGACTCGCAGGTTAAGAGCATTGACTGTTCTTCTAGAGGTCCTGAGTTCAATTCCCAGCAACCACATGGTGGCTCACAACCATCTGTAATGGGATTCAATGCCCTCTTCTGGTGTGTCTGAAGACAGCTACAGTGTACTCACGTACATAAAATAAATAAGTAAATATATACATACACACACACACACACACACACACACATATATATGGGGGGAAACCACATAGTAGAGGTTTCTGAGAGACTGCGTGCCTCCCTGGAAGCAAGAGCTAACAATGCCCATGGGCTTTTATTCTTTTCACATACACGCTTTCGTTACACACTCAAAGGTTGGACAGACCTGCTCACTTCAGCTCCCTGCCAGTTAAACAGAACTCTCTTCTGGCAGAAGCCTGTTTCAAGTCTGGCGAATGCTTACAAGGAAAGCATGCAGTTGCAGTTACCAACTGAGCATTATCCACAAGAATTGGATCTCAAATACAAGCTCACTGACAGTGGCTTTATCCTGGGTGTGTGTGCTCTTATCTCTGCTCTTTGGAACTGTCCTGAGCTGTCTTGTGCTCACAATGACCTGGGGAACATGCTCAGAGCCCGGGGCCACTGGGAAGAATCTAAGCCATGTTATTTGACAGCAACTGAGATGCAAGCAAGCTTTGCAGTAGTTTGTCATCATTGCAGCTGGGTTTTCAATGCTCTGCCACTATATATATATTTCAAGGTTCTGTGTGGCTCCAGGTGTCCTGGAACTCCCTGTGTAGACCCAGATGACCTTGAAGTCCAAAGATCTGTTGCCTCTGTCCCCACCCCACTCTAGTGTTGGAATTAAAGGCATGGCACACATCTCCACTGGCTTTAATGATAAATTCTTTAAAAGTTGTCATCACTGACATAGAATTTCCCAAATGGCTTGTAATAATTTCAGAGGTGTCATGTAAAAGGTATGCTTTTTGACAGCGGTGTGGTTCCCTGTTTTCCTTGGCTTGTTCAAATCACGTGGGTGTACTCGTAGTACCAAGTTCCACAGGCCAGGAGAGAGCCACAAGCAGGCCATCTGTGGAACTGCAACCACATATCCTGATCCTTATTGCAGCCTACCAGGAGCTTTGAGGGTAACAACAGCAGTGAATCAGGGAAGAGCGGTCAGCTCGAGTCTAAAGCACCATCTTCCCAGAGCTTGCAGCTTTTATGGACAGCAGAGATATTGAGAAATCCCCCAGGAGGTGAGGGGGGAAGGCTGGACTCAGGATGTAAACAAGCACATTTCTGAGAAAGTGAAACTGGCCCGATCCACAAGCATCTTCTCCCAGAGTCACCTCTGGAGGACTCTGAGCAGCCCAGCGGCCCAGAGGAGGTTCTCAGAGTTCCCGGGTCCCAGCTGACATGAGTCTTCACCCGGGTTGTGTGAGCTGCCTTTGAGTCACCCTCTATTCCTGTAAGTAACTATCTTAGGGTTTTACTGCTGTGACCAGACACCATGACCAAGGAAACTCTTATAAGGACAACATTTATTGGGGCTGGCTTACAGGTTCAGAGGTTCAGTCCATTATCATCAAGGCAGGAGCATGGCCGAATCCAGGCAGGCATGGCCCTAGAGAGAGTTCTACATCTTCATCTGAAGGCTGCTAGGAGAAGACCTAGTATGGATAGGAGGAGGGTCTCATTGCCCATCCCCACAGTGACACACTTCCTCCAACAAAGCCACGCCCACTCCAACAAGGATGTACCTAATAGTGCCATACCCTGAGCCAATCATATTCAAATCACCACAGTAACCCATCACCCCTACTCCCAATAACCCAGTAAAATCTCACTGGCTCACCAGGTGGACTTTGGTGCCATCATTACTTTTGTCTGCCATTTGTTCACATCTTGGGGTGAGAAGAGGGGTGTCAAGTCTATGAGGACAATCCCGTAACACAAAACGTGGGCACATTTGAATTTCGCAAGTTGTAAGCAGGGAAAACCACAGGATGGGATGATGGGTTCAAGGAAGATGTTCCAATCAGCCCTACCTTTGCTGATGGTTACTCTGACGTGGAAACACTCTAAAGGAGGTGCAGGATGCTCAGGGAACCTTACTGCACCACATGGGTGCCATCAACACTCACCCTACATCTGTAGATGCACACAGAAATCCCACTCCACTTACAAGGATCCAGAGAACACCCCAGAAAAAAAATAGCTGTATTACTTTAGACTTAAGCCTGGCTTTCCTGGTGCTTAGTGTAACCTGGCTTGTTGCCTACAGACTGTGCAACTGGACAGACTATGATGAATGAATGAAGATGCCAGGCAGCATGTGGCAGACCCTCTGCATCCATTCATAAATATGCTACACCCTCTTTCTCAAGGTGTACTGGCTGGTTTTGTGTTAACAAGATGCAAACTGGAGTTATCACAGAAAAAGGAGCTTCTGTTGGGAAAATGCCTCCGTGAGATCCAGCTGTAAGGCATTTTCTCAATTAGTGATGAAGTGGGGACATTGTGGGTGGTGCCATCCCTGGGCTGGTAGTATAGTCCTGGGTTCTATAAGAAAGCAGGGTGAGCAAGTCAGGGGAAGCAAGCCAGTAAGTAACACCCCTCCATGGCCTCTGCATCAGCTCCTGCCTCCAGATTCCTACCCTGTGTGAGTTCCTGTCTTGACTTCCTTTGGTGATGAACAGCAATGTGGGAGTGTAAGCTGAATGAACCATTTCCTTCCCAACTTGCTTCTTGGTCATGATGTTTTCTGCAGGAATAGAAACCCTGACTAACACAAACCTAGTCAGGGAATGAGCCAAAGCTTATGGCCTAGGCATTTATTAATGAATAACTGGTCCCAGTGCCGTCATTCCATGAGCAGGTCTGGGAAAGGAAACTCATCATGGGAACTTCTAAAGCCTATGGGCATTGTTGCTTACCTTTGAAAGTTAAAAGATGATTTTGTAGTTCAAGAGATGGCACCCCAGCAAAAGCCAGCTGCATCTGGGAAGGACTTCCCACTCTAACCCATGGGCCTGATGCCAGGTAAAAGGGGGTGGAAAAAATCACTTATCCCTGAACAGGAAAACCCACCAATCCCTGAGCTACCCCAAACTGAAGACTTGAAATTCCATCAGTTCTCAGTCTGGAAATCTCTGTCCTGAGAAGCTCTGCCCCCTCAGAAATCCTACATAAGCCCCACCCTTTGTCCAGTTCCCTGCTGCCCACACCTGGGAGCAAAGGCCATGATCTCTGGATTAGTCCCTCCACACCCTGCATCCTCAAATAAACCTCATTCATGAGATTTGATGCCTCTCTTTCTCTCTCTCTCTCTCTCTCTCTCTCTCTCTCTCTCTCTCTCTCTCCCTTCTTCCCTCCCTCCCTCCCTCCCTCCCTTCCTCTCTCTCTCCAGAAGAAGCCAAGAAGAAAGGAAGAGAAGGAGCTGGGCTGAGGCACCTGAGATCCTCAGCTCAGCTGGAGAGACCCTCCCCTGAGAGCTGCAATGCCTCTGTTGAGGAGGTTTCCTCTCAGAGCTGTGTGGATCCTGGGCCCCTGTGTCTCAGGATGCCCTTCCACTGGGACACTGTCCCACCTCAGAGCTGTGTAGTTCTTGGACTTCCAAGTTCCAAGACACCCTTCCATCTGAGCAGAAATGCTTACATCTACAGCATCTCCCCCAAATCCCCAGCCAGAGAGCTCTGTATTCTCAGAAGCACTGGGAACAATTATTCTCAGCCACAGTGGCCCAAGGATCCAGAACCTCTAGCCACAGGGACCTTCCTTGTTAATCTACATGTATCAAGCAATATCCACTGGCTTGGTATCCTGCCCCACCCTCATTAACAGACTTAAAAGAATTATGCAAAGCTGTTTGTAGATGAAATTAATGCCCTATGGACCAGATCTTTTATACAAAGCTTCAGGAGTGACCTTTAACCCCCTAGACTGGAGAGATATGTGCGAGCTACTTTCCTTAGTCTCCTGTTTGCACAGTGGGAAGCCTTGTTTGGAGATGAATATCAGATGCAGGCTAGAAAAAAATGAAATACATAATCAACAAATAGGACCACAACAAAGAAAACCTCCCTCAATTAATAAATTGGAACTATGACCATTTGTTCAGCCAGTGTAATTTCTCCATAGGTATTCGGCAAGCCTTACTTCCTGCTGGCTGCTTTAAAAATTAAAAAGATTAATCTATTTATTTTGTGTACGTGAGTACACTGTCACTCCCTTCAGACACACCAGAAGAGGGCATGGGATCCCATTACAGATGATTGTGAGCCACAATGTGGTTGCTGGGAATTGAACTCAGGAACTCTGGAAGAGCAGTCAGAGCTCTTAACAGCTGAGCCGTCTCTCCAGCCCCAGCTGGCTGCTTTAAGAAGGTCTGTTTATGTACACTTCAGGTCTGAAACCATTTAACCCCCTAACTGCATTCTCATACGATAGGGTTGAGTGGAGGGAACTCCCTCAAGCATGGCTAACAGCTCCACCATTTGCTAAGAGACTGTAGCTGGTGTATTAACCCCCCTTTTTAACACAGGCCTCTATATATTTTATTACATGGATGATGTGTTAATATGACAAGATAATAGGCAAGATATAACTTCAGATAATCTTAAACAACGAGCCATAAAAGCCCTAACAAAAAAGGCTTTATATTATCCAAAGTTAAGATTCAACTTGTTTGGGCTGGAGAGATGGCTCAGCAGTTAAGATGACGGACTGCTCTTCCAGGGGTCCTGAATTCAATTCCTAGCAACCACATGATGGTTAAAAACCATATGTCATGGGGTCCAATACTCTAGTCTGGTGTCTCTGAAGAGAGCTACCGTGTACTCATATACATAAAAGAGAATAAATCTTTAAAAATGAAAGATTCAATTTATTCGACCGATCACATTCCTAGAGAGAGAAATCAGCATACCCTCAGTCTGGCCAGCTACATCTGTCAGTGACTTCCCCAATGTATTAACCCTAAATACCCTTCAAAGCTTCTTAGGCAGTATTAATTGGTTTAGGTCTTAGCTCCCCATACCAGCCAGGCAATCACAGACTCTATTTGATTTACTTAAGGGTGACAAGGACCCTCTTCACTCCTCTCTCCCTGATGCCAGCAGCCAGAGGGACCCTTTGTTCTATTAAAGACCACGTTAGAAACACCTAGCTCATTATGGTCCACAACATCCAACCCAGGTCTTTATATTCAGTTCTTCTCCCACAGTGGTTGGAGCCTTACATCAACCTCAGGGGATCCTAGAATGGCTCCATGATCCAACAGGGGTAGCACCTCAACCACTAACCGAGGTTGACACTTTATCCAGTATAAGGACAGGAAAAGAGCATACCTTATAAATTATAGGTAAAGAACCTGTTGTAACTGTTTTCCCTTCCTCATCTCAGACATCCAATGGCTCCTGAGAAAAGACACCACTTTTGCTAATAGCCTCATTGGCTTCCCAGGACAGACAGACAACCATTACACTAAAGATAAATTCCTGCAGCCACCCCAGTCTTTAGGTGGCTTCCTCCTCCACTGTTCTCTTGGTCTGCTATCCGACGGGCCCACAGCTTTTACAGATGGAGAATGACAGGGTGCCATCTACACAGTATACCAAAGAGACACTGGCTCTAAGTCACATTTTTCCCACTCACAGATAAGTCTCCCCGGTTTAAAGAATTGCATTCCATCTTCCTGGTTTTAACTTACCTAAAAGAACCAGCTAGCATATGTTCAGACAGCACTTATAAAAGTCAGCTTACTCCCGTGGCTAGCCTGCTCTTATGTCAGACCTGGTGGTGATCCTTTTTCCCAACTATTAATTAAGATTTCAAAAATACTTTAAGCTAGAACATATCCATTTTTAGTCAGCTATGTGTGGTCACACTCATCCCTCACCAGATCCCTCTCTGATGACAACACATCAGCCGGTAAGATTGTCACAACTGGGGCCTTTACTCTGTCACCCCTCACTGCTTTAGAACTCTCATCAGATAACCATACTAACCTGGAGGGGCTACAGCTCAAATTCCCCAATGCCCCCATAAAATACCTCAAACACACCCTCAGAACTTGCTTCTCCTGTGCCTCCCTAAGTCGCACCCCTGCTATACAACAATTGGGCACCAACCCCAGAGGCTCTCAGGCTAATGCCCTCTTGCAAAAATGATGTCACCCAAATCCCATCACTGTACACAAAAAATTTGTATTCATTAATATTGATACCTATTCCCATTTAAAAACCTAATTAATCACATGTTCTCCAATTTTGCTATTACGGGGGTCCCTCTCCATATCAAAGCAGATACTGGACCTGCATTCATTCAACAGCCATCAATTCTATGATTTCTGCAAGTCTTGGAAAATTCTCCACTATAATGGTATCCTCACTACCCTCAGAGCTAAACTGTCATTGAAAGAACAAATCAAATAATTAAAAAAAATAATTAAACACAAGACTTCCTATCACCAAATACCGAAATAAACCTGGCATTATTTACACTGACACTAACACTAGGCTTTCCTTGTTTTATGTCCTGGAAACATATCACGGGAAGAACCAGGACTGGAGACTGCTCACTAGCAGGATGTCAGTAACCCATTGTGATTCCTATCCACCAAATGCATAAAATTTATGTCCCCTTTGATACCAAACCCTCTTCCCAGTGGACAAGGGGGTCTAAGTGCAGGGACAATGACCCAGGTCCACATGGACAAACTCAAGACAGAAAATGAAGATCCTTGTGAATAAAACACACCCATCTGGAGCTACCGATGCTTCATCTGGAAAGAAACAGGAAGATCTGAGTCTAAGCCTGAGGCTGAAAAGGCAGATCCTGAGGAAAAAGGCAAAGTCTCCCCTTTACAGTCAGGCTTGGCACTGTGAGCCACCCACTGCAGGTGAACACAGAGCCAGGTCTCTGTGGGTTCTTGTGGGGATTGCAGGCCAGAGTGTCTCTGCTTTAAGGAGAAGCATCTCTCCAACAGCATCCCCAACCGCTGTGTCACCATTGTATTCCTGGAAGTGGCTTTTCTTCTAGAAGAATCCAGGGTCTAACTTCTGAAGAGATGAAGGAAGAGGAAGGGTGGAGAAGAGGACACAGAGAGTATGGCCTGCTGGTCTCTCCTGGTGTCCAGACAGCTCCTGGGTCAGAACTCGGAGATACCATGACAAACAGCGCTCTGTCTGCAGCACAGGGTTCAGACAAAGTCTTAGTTTCCAGGCGGTGAGGTCAGGGGTAGGGAAGCCTAAACCTGGGGATTCCCTATCTCCCCAGTTTCACTTCTGCTCCTAACCTGGGTCAGGTCCTTCTACCTGGACACACACTGATGACCTGCGGGTAGGTCTCACACCTATTGGGTGTCACGAACCCGGGGAACTAATCAGCGTCACCGCGAGCACTGGTTCTAAAGTCCACGCAGCCCGTGGGACTCAGACACCCCAGATCCCAGATGGGGGCCATGGTGCCTCGCATGCTGCTCCTGATGCTGGTGGCCGCCCTAGCCCCGACCCAGACCCACGAGGGTGAGTGCGGGGTCAGGAGAGAAACGGCCTCTGCGGGGAAGGCCGGAGGTGGCACTGGGGTGGCACCCACTGGACCCTCTGCCCCTTCTCCACCCGCGTCCCGAGCCCTGTGCCCTGCTCCCCTCCCAGCCCGGGAGGAAGTCAAGGTCTCACCACGCGCCACCCCCAGGCTCACACTTGCTGCGGTATTTCTCCACTGCTGTGTCCCGACCCGGCCTCGGAGAGCCCCGGTTCATTATCGTCGGCTACGTGGACGACACACAGTTCGACGCGGAGAATCTGAGGATGGAGCCGCACACGCCTTGGGTGGAGCAGGAGGGGCCAGAGTATTGGGAGCGGCAAACACAGAGAGCCAAGTTCAATGAGCGGGTTTACCGAGGGAACCTGAGGAACCTGCTTGGCTACTACAACCAGAGCGAGGGCGGTGAGTGACCCCGGGTCGGAGGTCACGATCCCTCCATGTCCCGACACAGGGGCCGGAGACGCCCCGGGTCCCAAGTCCGAGGTTCGGGAGCAGAACCGACCTGGGACGGGTTTTCCTTTTAATTCGGAAAAGTCCGTGGGTGGGCGGGGCCGTGTGGTCGGAGCTGTGGCGGGTGGGCGGGACTGACCACGGGGTCCCGCAGGCTCTCACACGCTCCAGTGGATGTATGGCTGTGACATGGGGTCGGACGGGAGCCTCCTCCGCGGGTATAATCAGCTCGCCTACGACGGCCGCGATTACATCACCCTGAACGAAGACCTAAAAACGTGGACCGCAGCGGACATGGCAGCGCAGATCACCCGACACCAGTGGGAGCAGACTGGTGAAGCAGAGAGACAGAGGGCCTACCTGGAGGGCAGATGTGTGGAGTGGCTCCGCAGATACCTGGAGCTCGGGAAGGAGACGCTGCTGCGCACAGGTGCAGGGGCCGTGGGCAGCTCCTCCCTCTGCCCTCGGGCTGGGGCTCAGTCCTGGGGAAGAAGAAACCCTCAGCTGGGGTGATGCCCCTGTCTAAGAGGGGAGAGAGTGTCCCTGGGTCTCCTGATCCTCATCACAGTGACTGCACTGACTCTCCCAGGGCTCAGCCTTCTCCCTGGACAGTTCCCAGTCTGTCTCAGACATAACAGCAGGGGCTCCCTCCTGTCAGCCATGGCCTCTCCCAGGCCTTGTTCTCTGTCCTCACCCACTGTCTCCTATCATGTTGTCTCAGTCCTTACAACTCAGGACCAGAAGTCTCCTTTACCTGATAGAAGACATGGACTCCCTACACTAGGCTGGTTCTCCAGTTTCTAGAACTTTCCAAAGAATACATCCTCGCAGATCTCTCCCTGTCTGTGGGGTTTGCATCCCTTCAACAACCCAATTCCATCTATTCCTACAGCGGTGAATGGTCACATGAGCCTTATGGGGTACCCTGGAGGAATATAAACTGTAGGGTTTCTTTTTCTCTCTCTCTTTTTTTTATTATTTCTTACCTTTTTCTTTCTTTCTTTCTTTCTTAAGGCATTGTTTTACTTCCAGTCATTTTTTGTCTGTACTGCAGTGATACAATTTCTCCAGGCCCTTGTATTGTCATTTGTATCTGTTCCACAGACTGGATGATTACACAAGTTAATTCAGGGTTCTCATTAAACGAGAGATTCTTGTGAGCTTAGATTGTTTACTGTCAGAACTAAACATCCAGAACCCTCCTACTTTTCCTCTGCCCCCACAAGTTACAATGGTCCTCCTAGTGAATCAGGAATTGGACTTTCTGAGAGACAGGGTCTTCTTTAATCCAGGGCTGGAGTGAGAGGGAAGATCCACACACCCTTTGAGCTCACTGTGTTCCAGTGAGAGGTGCACTGGGGTTCACAGCACATTCCAGGTATCCTGTGTAACATACTGTACCTTGTTTCCCCAGAGGCAGGATCTGGGAGTCATTTTCTCTGGCTAACTGTCAGAGGTTCACCACATTTCTGCTACACATTTTGTGATGGCTGTACACTTGTACTGACTGTTATACTGGTCATCAAGATGACCACAGTGTCTCAGTGATAACAACCTACCAGTAGCACATATCCATAATTTATAATTTAGATAGAACTCAAACACAAAATAAATTACTTATTTTCCATTCCATCTTCCATTCTTTGACTCCCTGTCTCATGCTGTAGAACATCTCGTAGGGAAGACCATGTTGACCCACTGACTTGTATGATTCCCTCTTAGCTTCTGAGTCCACAGGGAAAATGTTCAGTTCTGTGCTGAGGGACCATCGCCACCTTCTGGTCACTAGTGCAATGACAGTTGAAGTGTCAGACACATAGTTCAGTGTCATTGATTTAACTGAGTCTTGTGTAGATTTCAGTTGGTCTTGTTAATTGTGGAATTTCTTAAATCTTCCACACAGATCCCCCAAAGGCCCATGTGACTCATCATCCCAGAGCTGAAGGTGAAGTCACCCTGAGGTGCTGGGCCCTGGGCTTCTACCCTGCTGACATCACCCTGACCTGGCAGTTGAATGGGGAGGAGCTGACCCAGGACATGGAGCTTGTGCAGACCAGGCCTTCAGGGGATGGAACCTTCCAGAAGTGGGCATCTGTGGTAGTGCCTTCAGGGGAGGAGCAGAGTTATACTTGCCATGTGGAACATGAGGGGCTATCGCAGACTCTCACCCTGAGATGGGGAAAGGAAGGTGTGGAAGTAGGGCTGGAGTCAGGGAAAGCTGGAACCTTGTGCAGACCCTGAGCTGGTCATGGCTGAGAGCTGGTGTCATGATCCTCACCTTCATTTCCTGCCCTTGTCCTCCCCAGAGCCTCCTCCATCCACCAACTACAACATGGTGATCATTGCTGTTCTGGGTGTCATTGGAGCTGTGGCCATCATTGGAGCTGTGGTGGCTTTTGTGATGATGAGGAGGAGAAACACAGGTAGGAAAGGGAAGGGTCTGAGTTTTCTCTCAGCCTCCTTTAGAAGTGTGCTCTGCTCATTAATGGGAAACACATCCACACCCTGCATTGCTACTGTCTCCAATGAGTTTGCTGTCAGTTCTGGAAACTTCTAGTGTCAAGATCTTCCTTGAACTCTCACAGCTTTTCTTCTCACAGGTGGAAGAGGAGGAGACTATGCACATACATATACATTTGTTTTGTTTTACTCTAGGCAAGGACAGCTCCCAGAGCTCTGATATGTCTCTCCCAGAATGTAAAGGTGACACTCTGGGGCTTGATTGGGGAGGGGCAATGTGGACATGATTGGGCCTCAGGGACTCCCAGAATCCCCTGTGAGTGGTGGGTTGTTGGAATGTTGACTTCACAGTGATGGTTCATGACTCTCGTTCTCTAGCATGAAGACAGCAGCCTGGAGTGGACTGAGTGACAGACAGTGTGTTGAGGTCTCTCCTGTGACGTCCAGAGCCCTCAGTTCTCTTTAGACAACAGTGTCTGATGTTCCCTGTGATCCTATGGGCTCAATGTGAAGAACTGTGGAGCCCAGCCTGCCCTGCACACCAGGACCCTGTCCCTGCACTGCCCGTGTTCCCTTCCACAGCCAACCTTCCTGGTCCAGCCAAACACTGGGGACATCTGCATCCTGTCATCTCCATGCTGCCCTGAGCTGCAGCTCCTCATTTCCACACTGAGAATAAGAATCTGAATGTGAACTTGATTGTTAACATCTTGACCTGAGGGTAGATTTCTTGTTAAGTTAATGGATTGATAATACTTAGATTTTTTTTGAAGAAATAAATGGCAGATACAGAACCTTCCAGAATCTGTGTCACTAAGCTGTGTGTATCTGTTGGGATAGAATGAGGCTGTGGGAACTGAGTGTGAACAGGGCTGTGCCAGGTGGGCTCAGTGAGTTATTTTCTTTGATGGGGTCTCTCCTCGGCTGTGTCACCTCCAGGCTCTGCTCTCTCCATCACTATGAAGCACATGCTGAGAGTCTGTGGACACAAAGTCACAGGGAAGGCCAGAGCCTTCTCTTATGCCCCGGATTATGAGCCCTCAGGGCTAAAGATCAGAAATTCAAGTGGAAAATCCTTCAATGACCCAAGTGCCCAAGATAGGTCGCACTATATTTCCTCCCACCCATTTGTTTAACTACTAAGGATGCAGTCTTGAAGCTGCCCTCAGCACTCACTGTAGCCACGCTACTATGGTGGGTTTTGGTTCTCCTTTCCAGTGTTTTTTTCCAGGGTTCTCAGGTGTCTGGTGTGATCTGTTCATTCATCTCTCAGGAGCACATCCACAGCTGAGATGATTGGCTTAGATTTTTCAAAACCTACTTTTAATAAGGGTTCTTAAAAGCTTAACCTCCTTTCCAGGGCACCACCCAGAAGAAGTACTGGGAAGGATTGGTTATTAGGATAGGGCGGAAGTGGACCTGTTTAAAAATGGTTCTTTGAAGCAAATGCAGTCTGCATTGTCAGGATATCAGCTGTTCAGTTTACAAGAAACTGCAGTGGCAGCTCAATTCATAGCAAGACAGGAGGCTCAGCTGTTTGCTGTTTACAGGTAGTTCCTTGGGGTCATTTCAATCTCCAATTGACAGGACACCTTCAGTCCACTTCAGTAGTGTCAGGATAGCAAACAGGAATCATCAGCTGTGGCAAAACCCAGCAGAAACTTCCAGACCTCTGCCAAATAGACAGCAGGAGATACCAGGACCAGCAGGGACACCAGGAGAAGTTCTCTGCCATGAGTCTCTCAGCAAAGTGAAGATCAGAAAAGATGAAGACATGAAACCAACGAAGCATTGCAAAGCCAGTTATGCAAGCCCGCCATCACTGTCCACTGTGTCCTGTTATACTCCCTCCAAACATCTCCCGTCCTCACATGAGTCTTGCTTCAGCAAAACACCACACGGGTCTGTCTTAGCAAACCTCCACATGAGTCTGTATCAGCAGACATATCCAGAAACTTCCACTTCACTCTGCCAATCAGCCCAAGTCTGCAGAAGCAGCAAGAAGACACCAGAACATCACCAGAGGTTTTGTTTTTGTTTTGTTTTGTTTGGTGGATTTCTCTCTATGGAGTCACGAGATATAATTACCAATAAACAATGGTGAGATTTACCAATACCATGCAGCCTTGTCTACTGTCTGTTGGGTTTTATTTATATTCCTTCTAAACATCCTGTGTCCTTTCACGTGTGTACTTCAGCAAAACATCCTTTCTCCTGTGTCTGCTTCAGCAAAACATCATTTCACACAACTGACTTTCCAAAGAAACCAGAAGTTTCCACTTCCAGAACAGGGATGCTTCTCTCTCCTGTAACTTGGGTACCGCCCCCTGAATCCTTTATACTCCTGGGCTATCTTATCTTTTCGCAGCTTGTGATCTGGAGTTAACTCCCTGAAGACACTTCATCTCTGTTCCCAGCTCAGTGAACCTGTGGCTTGCATCACTTGGGCATGCAGGATGCTATATTCAGCATAGTCTGTCTTAAAGTCCTGTTCATAAGCCTGTTGTTGCTCTGCACAGTGGATGACCCTGTATTGCAGGAGACCAAAGTTCTGCTCATAGGCCTGTAACCATTTAAATTAACTAATATTTATAGCACTGAAGACAGCAGAGGCATAAACTGAGGTAAAGACCTGCCAGTTCAGCAAGAAAACTTTATTTTCTTAACTATATAGGAGATATCTATTTATAAGCCTGTTTCTACAACTAAACTGCCAGCTCTTCAGAAATCTCTATGTCTCATTCTTGTGAGCTAGTCTGCATTTCTCTTGAGCTCCTCCTAACCCTAGAGGGCTCCTTAGCTCTCTTTCCTAGATTTCTGTTTCATCTGTGTCCTGCCAGATTCTTCTCTGTTGTTCCTGCAAGCCCAAAGAGAAAATCCCCATCACTTACCTGGAGATCCTGCCATAGAGGTTTATCCAAAATGAGTGACAGAGAGAGAAGGAGAACAAGAGAGGGGGAGAGAGAGTGAGAGAGAGAGAGAGAGAGAGAGAGAGAGAGAGAGAGAGAGAGAGAGAGAGAACACTCTGTCTAAGATCCAGTTGCTTATAAAAGAAGTCTAGCTCCTCCCATACACCCTTGGCAGGCTGAGCCATGTCACTATCATGGGATTTTTCTGCTCAGGGATTGATAACTTTTTCTTTTTTTCGAGACAGGGTATCTCTGTGTAGCCCTGGCTGTCCTGGAACTCACTCTGTAGACCAGGCTGGCCTCAAACTCAGAAATCCGCTTGTCTCTGCCTCCCAAGTGCTGGGATTAAAGGCGTGCGCCACCCCCGCCCGGCCGTTTTTTTTTCCCCCTTTTCCCTGGCATTGGGCCCATGGGTTAGTGTGGGAAGACCTTCCCAGGTAAAGCTGGCTTTTGCTGAGTTGCCATTTCTGTGGGGCTGCTGGGGACAGGCAGGGACTGGAGAGGTGTTGCCACTGTGGACTGCTCCTGTGATGTTTCACCAAGGCTGCAGACTGAAGCAGGAAAGGTGTCACCACCATGGACAGCTCCTGTGACACCTGCAGGCTGCAGATGTAGTGGAGGTGCCATTTTAGCAGAAGCACCCATTTTGGACAGCTCCTGTGGGACATTTTACTGACGTGGCCTGTACACTGGAACAGGATGTAAGAGCCTGCCTTCATTTGGACGGACTTAGTGTTAGGGACTACAAGAAGCCAGGATAAACCCTTTCTCCCTAAGCTGTGTCTTGTCAGATATTAATTCACAGTGATGGAAAATGGAACTGTATTGGTTACATTTCTGTTGCTGTCATAAAACATCATGTCCACGGAAACTTACAGAAGGTTTATCTGGGGATTAGGGTCCCAAAGAGTTAAGAGTCCATCATCGTCATGACAGCAAACACCAGGCATGGCAGCAGGAACAGCTGAGAGCTCACACCTCCAACCATGCCCCCCAGTGACATACTTCCTCCAGCAAGGCCACACCTCCTAAGCTTCACCAAATGGCACCAACTGGGAACTAAGTATTCAAATGACCAAGAATATGAGGGTCATCTTATTCAGAGGACCACAGTAACTAACGTAGACAGTGACACCCAAGGTCTTGGTGCAAATGTGTGATTTTCCAGGTATAGTGTCAGGGAAATGTTAGTGATCCCCCAAAACCAGAAAGGAACAGATCCGATGTAATCACAGTAGGGCCATTTTATTTCAGCTAGCTTAGGCCAGTGCTATTAGGACAAGACTTTATAGTAAGGAGCAAGTGTGGGGTGAGTGTTCAAGCATTTAATTGGGAAGTTACTGTGACCTTTAACATTATTGGCTGGTGCTGGAGTCATATTATAAAGTTAATTTCTGCTTCCCTCTGCATTAGTGACCGTTAGTCAGGGGATGGGCTTGTAACCTTGGGGTGCAGGTTTGTTGGGGTATAACCTGGAGACACAGGTCTACTTGGGGTAATAACCAGGAAATGCTGTTCTTGTTGGGGGTTAGCCTAAAGACTGGAGCCTGGCTCGGGTTTTGTTAGAAGGTAACTTGGAAACTAATGGTGGATACCAGCCTGTTAGTTTGCCTGAGTTCAAATTCTCTAAAATGGAGTCTGAATTTAAAAGATTTGGCCTCTCACAGGTGGCAGCTGGCTGACACTGCCACAGGTGGGACCTGGGCAAGAAGGCTTGGTTCTCCAGAGTCACCTAAGGCAATGCTGGTACCTATCTATCAGGAAACACCTTTTCTAATGTCATGGTGGGCACTTCTTGCATGTGCCAAGTCCAGGAATGAAGGAACTTTCCAAAGGAAACGTTCAAACCCAATGGTCTCCAAAGGACCATGGAGATGGCTCAGAGTGTGAAGGTTTCTGCCATCAAGCTTGACTCCCTGAGTTTCATCCATGGAAGCCACATGGTGGATGGAGAGACCTGACTCCTGTAAGTTATCCTCTGAGCTTCCCGTGGGCATCATGACAAGCACATCCCTACACATAATTATTAAATCAATGCAATAAAAATGAACCATGCTGGTTTCATGTTGAAGAAGATGTAAACACGTGTGTATAAGGACAGGTATGTCTAAGGACACATATGTCTAAGGACAGGTATAAGTTGTGTTCAGTTTGCCTCCAGACTTTCCAGTGGTTGAATTTTCCTGTGTCCAAAACCCACACTGTGATGAGAAGCTGTCAGGATGATTGAAGGGAAACCCATGCCAGGATAATCACAGAGATTTTAAACTACTTCACGTGTTATGTATTTACCCTTGCTATATGTGTATGGTGTGCGAATGAGGGCACTTCAGCTGTGGTGTGTGTGTTGGGGGTGGGGGAATCAGAAGACAACCTTGGGAAGCCAGTTCTCTCCTTCCATGTAGATTCTGGGGGACTGAACTCAGGTGGTCAGACTTGGTGGCAAGCACCTCTACCTGAGTCACCTCACCATTCTGGCCTGAGTGACACCACCCTGTTTTTGGAGGTGTTGAGAAATCGAACCTTTGGCGTGTGTTATACAAGGTGGGCACTCTGGTCACTGAGCCACATTCCCAATGTTTGAAAACCAGTCAGGAGAAAACGACTTTCTGTTATTTCAAAGGCCCATACTAAATAAAGATTTGGGATACAGATAGAATTACAGACTATATCTTAAAAACAGACGTAGGTGGCATACAAGAAGCACTTTGGTAATGTAGTCCGATGATCCAAGGACCTAGTCTAGGAGAATCAGGCCTGAAGTTGAAATTTCTGGTATCTTTGGAGACTCAGTAGTGTTGTGTGATGTTTTTCTGAAAACTGTCTTATGAGAGGATGGTTTTTGCTGAAGCAGACATGTGTTTTCTGGAAGCTGCCTGGAAAGGGGGCATGTGA